CTGGATGTTTTGGCCATCTCAAGCTTAACCTGCCACAAATTAAAGTCAACATTTCTTCTACTGCCCAACCCAAATCATGGTTGCAGTTTAATTCCTCTGGCTTACTGCTACTCCCGTCTTCCCAGGAACCATGGTTTGAAACCTACTAGTGAGTTTAAGCCCTGGATACTTTCTTCTTCCAGTTGTCTGGAAACTCTTCCCTAAAACTTTCACACAGGTGATTCCTTCTGACCTAGACTCCCTTTTCTGGTCATTGTCAAAAGAATCTTCCTCCCAAATCACTCTCTAGTTAAAATTCAGTTTGATTTTCTTTATAGAATTTTATATTCTTTAAAATTAACCTTCTATATTGTCTATTTACTGTCTAATCCACCCTCTCTGAACTGCTTGAAAGCAGAGAACTTTTCTGTCTAGCACAAAATACATGCTCAGTGAACACACTGGAATGAACTGACTTTCCTAAACTTCTACTTTCCTTTACACAACCAAAGCTCTTGCTCAACCTCATAGCCTGAACAAGAAAAGTATGTACAGGAAACAAAGCTGCTATGAATATTTACCTACAAAGTTCCTCTGTGAGAATAAGCCTTAATTTTTCCAAGATAAATTTCTAAAAGTGCAGTTGCTGCTCCCTCTCTTTACAGCCTCATTTTTTTCAAAATTCCATTCCTGTTCCCCATGTTCTAGTCAAGTGGGATAAATTATACTGTTTCCTCTTTCTTTCTCACTTATAATACTTTTGTCATTATCTGAATATTTATTTTTAAAATCTGCCTTGAATCACTTTTTGAAAAAGAAGAAATAATTTTAGACAAAGAATAGAGATGAATGAAAACAAGAAAAAATTAAATGAGATGATACAATATTTCACTAATCTTATCCCAATGTCATCCCTTTCCTATAAACCTACATCCTATTTGCTAAACTTCTTGTACAAAACCAATATTCTGCCAGTCTCACAGATGAATTTTTTCTGATACTTCCATTAAAACTGTAAACTCCCTAAGACAGATATTCTAATTTCTTATAAATTTTATATCTACTCAAGCACCAAGTATAGCTGCTCCTCAACTTAAAATGAATTTACATTCTGATAAATCAATCATTGATTTGAAAATACAGTAAGTCAAAAATACATTTAATACACCTGGTACTTTTTTTCTTCTCCTTTTTAAAGTGCTGGGGATAGAACCTAGAGCATCACATGCTAGGCAAGCACTCTACAGCTGAGCTATACATTAACACACCTAGCTCACCCAACATCATAGCTTAGTAGCACCATACACCATGAAGTATCTGTTGTTTATATTTGTGATTGTGTAGCTGAATGGAATTCCCTACCACCGCCCAACATCACAAGAGAGAATCTATCCTACTTCTCATCACTACTCTGGGAAAAGAAATCAGACATCAAAATTAAAGTAAGGTCTCTACTATATGCACATTTGCTTTGGGAACATTATAAAGTCAAGTTATTATAAATCAAATCATCATAAGTTGTGGACCATCTGTACAATCCGTCTTTTAGAGTTAAGGGCAAGTAATACTGAACCTTTTTTGGTGAATAAATGACTTAAACAATACTGTCTGAGAGAGCTCATGGTCTAACCATGAAGCCAGAATGCCAAAATTCCATTAAAAAATAACAACTAATAACACAAGCCTATACAGGCTAATTGTCAAAGAACGAGTGTTACAGAAGTACAGAGAAGTGAGAAATCCCTTGTGGTACAGCTGGAGGATGCTTCTCAAGGAGGTTGTTTGAGGGAAACCTTGAACAGATGAACTAAAAAATGGAGAAGTCCTTTACTTTTAGCTATTAAACAACATGTGGTTTGATCTCATTCTTTGAGGTTGCTGGACAATACTTCATAGCATAGATATATTATTCTGTTATTCTATTCAGGAACATTTATATTTGTATCAGTTAGTTGGATTCAACTTACAGAAAACCCAAATAAGAGTGTTGTAAATGCAAAATACTTTGTCTTGCTTGGGAAAAAAAAAAAAAAAACTTCTAAAGCTAGACGATCAAGGCCTACATATATGTGGACTCCATGGTCTTCAAAGACCAAACTATTTTTCAGCTTCCCCATCTAAGCATCAGCTTGTTTCCAAGGTTGACTGAACACATCTTGTTGTAGGCAAGTTAACAAAAGAAGAAGAGCAAAATGACCTGTCTCTCAGGTAAGCCAATTCTTTTATTCAGCCTTCTGGAAGTTTCATACAATACTTCCAGTTTTATCTCAATGGCCAAAAATAATTTTATGATCACACCCAGCTGTAAGGGAAACTTAAAAAAAAAAAAACGTATTTTATGTGAGAGCATAGTTGTCCCAAATGAAGTTAAGATTTTGCAACTAAAAAAGTATACTGGTTACCAACCACATGTGAGAGAGTGAAACTGACATCCTGCTCTGCCAATTATGAGTAAATATGCATGTCATCTCCTACGGTCAGGAAAGAAAGCATAAAATCACTTTATACCCTGACCCTGAAATAAACAAGACAAAATGGCATTTCATGTATCTCTAATTTCTAAAGTAAAAGAAACCCTGATATTAACACCCTAACAAAACAAACTTTATCCCAGATTTTTATAATATTCTTAAAATACTTGTATCTGATTTTCTACCACAGACTATCTGTATCCAGGTAATCCTGTGGATTTTTTTCTTCAGTTATCTGTTGCAATTTTTTTAAAGAGAGAGAGAGAGAGAGAGAGAACTTTTTAATATTTATTTTTCAGTTTTCGGTGGACACACATCTTTATTTTATTTTATGTGGTGCTGAGAATCGAACCCAGCGCCCAGCGCATGCCAGGCGAGTGCGTTACCACTTGAGCCACATCCCCAGCACAACATGTTGCATTTTTTAATCAAGAAGTCTTCTGAATATGGATTCCTTTGCAGATCTCTCCAAGTAAATTATTTTTCTTTTCTTAGTGCTTCTGGGCCTCTAAGTCTTCCTTTCATAGCATCCTCAACCACAAGATGATGTCTCGTTTCTCACTATTATAAATCATGCTGCAGTAAACAACTTGTAAATGCCTCCATGTGCACATGGTGACAATTTCTCAAACAGATATCCAAAAAAGGACTTGCTAGGATAAATTATATGCACATTTTAAATATATTCTGCCAAACTGCTGTCTAAAGAGCTATACCAATTTATCCTCCTCATCACTACATGAGAGTCCTTAATTTCTCACACAACACTAACACATGAAATTTTCACTCTTGAATCTTTTGTAACTTTCATGGGCAAAAAAAAAAAAAGCCTCATTGTTTCAATCCATTTACCTAATTACTATCTGGGCTAAACATAATAATATGTTTATTGGCCATTTGAACTAATTATTCTTCCAAGTGTTTGGTTCTTATCTTCTCTCATTTGCCTTGTCTTCTAATTTTACAAATTTTTATATATTCTGACTTTTATTCTTGTTACACGTTGTTATTCTTCTTCCAATCACTTACCTTTTTACTTTGCTGAAGATGCCGTTTGTTTTTATGAAGCATTAAACTTTGATGCAATCAAATTTATCTGCCACTTCTTTTGTCCTCTGCGGTGTTGTCTTTCTTTAAAAGATCTTCCCATTCAAAATCTGCAAACATGTTGTCTTCTAATATTTTGGGGGTTTCTTATTATATTTAACCCATATGGAATTTATCTTGATATGTGTTATGAAGTAGGACTTTCTCTAATTATTTTGCTAAAAAGACAGCCTATTGTCCCAACACTACATATTGAATAATTTATTTTGTTCCCATACTTTTAAATTTTATCTTTACCATATGTTAAATTATCACAGTCATATGACTGTCTCTGGACTCTATTTTTCTGTACTTCAGATCTATTACATTTCTGTACCAATACAACAAAGTTTTGATGACCAAAGCTCTACTGTATGCTTTAATATCTGGTAAAGCCGACTCCTTCCTATTGTATTAAAAATAAAAAGTTTGCTATTCTCATAAATTTTCTCTTCCACAATAATTTTAAAATCAATTCATTAAATTCCATTTTAAAATCCTATTGGGATTTTCACTGAGATTACCTTATATTTATAGATTAGAGACTACTTGTTTTTTAAAACCACTTGCACATTTTCATAATTAACATGTATTCATCAAGTACCTACAATGGGCTAAGCTCTTTGGGAAATTCAAAGGATTTCAGACAGTTCTTGCTATATAGAAATGTAAAACCTGATTGGAGAAAAACGATATGAACAACTACTGAATTAAATAACAAATATCCATAGAACTAAACTTGTAGCTCACTCATGGCCATTATAGTATGCACCCTGAGGCTTATTTTTGCCTCTGAGTTTGTTTTTCTTTGGCCTTACATTTTTTTTTGCTTTTTAAAAACTGGCAACATGTTAAGTCATAAACATAATCAGTTTATTCTGTAGTCTTCCTAAGTAAGTACTGTCATCATCACCACTTATAGATAAAGAAACCAAAGCTCAGAGGTTAAGCAACTTTCCTAAGATCACTGAGCAAGTAGGTAGAGGGAAATGAGGATCTTAAACCAGATTTCCTATCTTCAGTCACCTGTGTCTTTTCTTCTTTCCCCCTTTAAAAATCCCCATCATGTGAAATACAAAATTCATCTCAGAAATAATAGGGAATGAATAATTGAGCAACATCCAGATTTGTTTCTTATTTCATCCCTTCTGCAGGTAGATTCCCAGAGAATAAAAGTGTGTCTGTATGTGTGTGGAAGAGGATACGAAGGAGTGTTCCTCACCATTATTAGGGTTGGATTTGACAGTTCATCTCTTTCCCTTGAGCTAAGACCAGAGCCTTCTGTATAAATTGTCGGGCCTTGTGCGAAATGAAAAAGTGAAGCCCTTGTTCAAAATTAAAGTTTCAAGGGGTGACAACAGGAGAATTTAGGTGATGCGTGGAGCCAATGCAGGATCCTATGCTCATGATGCAAGCCCTGGCTCAGAGTCTCTTTTTTCCTAACATTTGTTCTTGGCTTTGCAGAGTCCCAGCCCTGCTCTGATGAAGAAGGCTGTTCGGAAGTCTTCCTCCCCACGGACAGCGACTACGACTCCAGCGACGCCCTGAGCCCCAGAGACCTGGACCTGGTCTACCTTTCCTCCCATGACATCGCCCAACAAGCCCTTAGCGGTCTCAGCGGCAGCGCCCCCGATGTCCTACAGGTCCACGACATGAAGACGCCAGTGGGACTAGGACAGGACCCCCAGGGCAGGGCGCAAGGCCTCGACCCTGACCGCTCATGCGTCGAGGTCCTCCACGGCCTGTCGCTCACCGGCCTCGCGCCCAAGAACCACTCCAAGATGGCGCCGGGCGCACGGCCGCCGCTGGGCTTCCTGGGAAAGCGGAAGTCAGGCAAGCACCAGCACTACGGAGGCTTCAGCCGCCACCGCCGCTGGCTGCGCATGCACAGTGAGACGCAGTCGCTGTCGCTTTCCGAGGGCGTCTACACGCCTCACCTGTCCCAAGCCTGTGGTCTGGCCCAGGAGTCTAGGGAGGCCGAGGGGCCTGGACCTGCCCTCGACGGGCCCCGGGGCCTGACCTTGGCCCACGCAGCCAGCCTGCCGGAGGAGCGCAAGGGCTGCTTTCAGGACCCGAGGCCTTCTGCCCACCGCATCTACGTGGAGCCCTACCCGGGCACCCTGATACGCCAGGATGCCCAGCCGTGGGCCGGCTTGAGCCCGCCCCCTGGAGGCCGAGTCCGCCTGTCCAGCCCTGCCCGTCCTGAGATGAGTCCCGAGGGTCCCACCTCGCCAGTGTCCGAAATCCTCAGCAGCATGCTTTAGGAAGGCCCGCGCTGGCTGTCCACCATCCCACTGCTAGTCCCTGCCTTGCCCATCACCCTGGCTGCCCCTCTTTGCCCTCACCCATTTTTGAACGTTTTGAATGCTACAAATCCAAAGGTTATAGGTTCAAGGACCTCTTGTTTAAGAGCAGAGCAGAAGCCAAGGCCAGAGTTGCCAGCGCTATTCCCGGTTCAACCTAGAAAGGGCGTGGAGAAGCTTTTATGTCAACATGGAGTCTGAGACGCAGTGATTCAAACATGCCACCCCGTTAGTTGCATCTGTGGCTGAGGAAGGCCAGCCCGAAGACACACCCTCAGTTTTGCAGCTGGCTCTGTAACCTGACCCCTGGGTTTAGGGCTCTTTCATGAATCTGTGATTAATGAGGAGTTCTACAGCTGGAAATAAGATTGGCATAGTTTTATCCTTGAATCCAAACCTTTAGAGTGGTTTAGGGAAAAGAGACCTGAGTTGTGACTTCAGAGCGTGGTATCAAGTGGACTTTAGCAGAGTTCCCTGTCAGCTAAGCCAGGCCATGCCAAAGTGCAGGGTTCTCAGAACTCACCAAATCCAGTTTATCATCAGCTTATCTGATTAAATAGGCCTTGGCAGACCTCTTTGTCTTTTAGTGCTATGTGGAGACCACCAGAAACTAAAATAGAGGACACTTTCAGCTCTAACTTGCAAAGATAGAATAGGATAGGAGGCAATCCTTCCTGCTCACTCAGCTCCCATTCTGATCTGAAAACGAGCCATAAATTGTTCTAGGCTGCAGGGAGATGGCTGAGTTAAGTGAAAGCCTGAATTGTAGACAAGACCAGGAAAAGGAGAGAAATATGAGCAAAAATGTATTTCCTTTACAATTCTAAGCAAAAGAAGTCCATGAGCGTCATGTCTCCCAAAATTGCAGTGGATTTGCTCAGGATTATGAAGTGGTGAAGTCATTTTTAAACAAGGAAGTTCCCTGCAGATGTGGCCAGGCAGTGATAGGCTCCTCACAGCCCCTTGAACATACTCTAGGCCCACCCCACAGGTCAAGGGATTGGGTATCCAGGGTTAGGATTGGCTGCCTTCCACTTTCAAATCTACTCAATGTCAATTTTGCCCCAAAATCGTCTGGCCCATGGGCCACAGGAAAAAATCTTTCTTCAGAAGACCCTGGCAGTGGTTTATTCCAAGAATGTGCTCAAAAACACCTGGAAATCCTATACTCATTGCCTCTTTCCTGAATTTCTCACAAATAAGCAACCCAAATCAAAGATAAATTCCACTGAATATTCATAAAGGGCATGAGTCTTTGATCTCTTGGAATCAAGACCCCTTCAGTTAAGTGATATTCTAAATGATTCTTTTCTGCTTCACAGGCATTTTAGTTAAATATTACTCTTTATGATCCTTTCCCTGTCCTCACAGTCCTTCCATTTCTGCTCATGGGAATTCATACAAAGTCCCCTGTTCACAATGTTATTTTGATCTCTTCCATTTTTAAAACATTTAATTTAAACATAAATAATTACCATGCTGGAAAGGCACATATTTGACCCATGGCCTATGGTCATTAGAAAACTAAAGCCCAGAATTCAGTCTTTATTTTTTTTAAGAGAATTTACACTCAATGAACTCCCTCCAAAATCTTCATCAGAATCACTACTGTTCCTTTTCCATGCCTGGGAGGATTTTAAAGTATAGTTTTCTTCCATGTGAATGGGGACAGAAGGAGTAAGAGTTAAAACAAGAAGGGCCATAAAATTTGTCCAAGTCCTTATTTATCAGGAAGGGCAATTAAAGTCCAGAGAGGTTAAGTACATTGCTCAAGGTCTCAGAGCTGGTATAGTCTTAGAGTTAACATCAGAAACAAGAACAACATCCTTTATAGCAGGCTGTCCCATTGGGAATTGAAATATATATAGTCAACTCTTGATTATCTATAAGCTAATTACCTATTGTGCAAAACTAGCTCAGTGATAGAGTGCTTACCTAGCATATGTGAGGCATTGGGTTCGATCCTCAGCACCACATAAAAATAAAGTGTCCATATACAACTAAAAATATTTTTTAAAAACCTTTACTTCCAATTTCAATTCAAGTCCATTGTGCAACCTGTAGCTAACAAATTTTCAATATCTCAGAGTTCCTTGTTGCTAGGGAATGCAAAACTTCATGTAAAAGTTATCTAAGTTTACTAGCTAAAAAGCAAATTTGAGAGAAATTTCAGATTATGACTCCTAGATAATAAAAGTAATGGCAGAATTGCACACATTAAAGTTTCTTCTTATTTTAAGTAAGACATTGTTTACATGAAATGAGTCCCTGAGATGAGACGCTGGAGTTGTCAAAACCTGAGAAGCCACGCAACTTTTTGATCCACACCTTTCTGCTGACACAGGAGGAAGTTTTTGACTGTGCATCAGATGGGAGGCATTCAACAAGCAGCTGAGACAGAGACTGACCCACCTTTTTGAACCTTCATTTGGTCAGCAAGTTCTGGCTTACTGGACCCAAACTGTATTAATTTCAAACCCACTAACTTATATTGGGGATACAGTCATATCTTTATTTTTTCACAAGTAAAAGAGGAATGAGTAATGCACAGTAGATTTTATTGGGCCTACTTGATCCACTTGAAAGTGTATTTTTCTAGCAATATTTTCTTAAAAAGTGGATATTTTATATCCTCAAGAATTAGCCATTAGTTCAGGTTGCTCACCCCCATGTTCCATTTTGTAACACTCGTGAGCTCAGTTTAAGAATTAAGGTATTCTAGTGAGAAAAAAAAATGTATTCTTTAATTCACAGATTTATATTTATTCGCATTAATTATAGAGATATGTCAGTGTATAGGGAATTTTTGGTTTTTTATCTCTTTTCCTCCCAAGTCCCATAGAGAACCAAAGAATCAAGGGTGAAACACATCCCCAGGCCTCAAGGGGCTCACAATCTGATCCAAGAACGCAGCCATACATCAGCATACATCTTCTCTTTGAGGACTTGAAGAAGCAAGAGCCTGTCTCCTCAGCTAGACAAACATAGCACATGTTCTGCTAGACATCTTTGATTGCACTCCTGCTGTCAATTTGTAAGGGAGGAGAACCTAGAAAATACAAGTCCTGGATGTATATGCTGGACAATATTTACAAGGCTATCGCACCCTCTTAATTGGTAAGGGTACCTGGTAGAGAGTAATTAAAAACTTTCACTCCAGGGAATGAGTATTTTAAGAAGTGGGTACTTAAAGATGAGATCCATTCCATTTTAAGAACATTCACTAACGCTCGAAGCAATAATTACACTGGAGAAAATGGTTCCATTTGGTTTGAAAATTGAAGCCAGTTCGTAATAATATTCCTCCAGTCCCCTTTCCTGAAGGATCCCAAAGCACTTCATGAAAAGCAATGACTGAAGCCTTGTTGTATTCCCCTAAAGAGACCTTGTCTGGGAGCCACCTGGCAAACACCTACCCCATCCTTGCCAGGAGATCATGCCAGACAAGTGGAAAAGAGGACTGGCCTCTCATTCATTGTTCTGGTGCCACACAAACGTGTACCCTGCTGAGGGTTGAGCTCTTCCCTGGAAGATAACCCCGTTAGGCAAAAAGGCATGCTAGAAAAATCTCAGCTCCCAGCCTCCTCTTTTTCCTTGCCCTTCACCTAAGATGTACTTGCTTTCTCTTGGAAAACCATCAATTCAAGCTGTCAGGGGGTCTGCAGTGCGTTTAAGTTCCCCAGTTATGTTAACAGCACACAGAATTTACTGGCTTCAGAAAATTTATATATGCAGAATGCCACTATTCTACAGCTCTCAACCCTGCAGGCAGCAGAGCCACAGCTGAGAGGGTGCATCTTTGCATATTTGTTTATTAAACCCTAATATACAGATTAAAGAGGGTAGTTATAGATGAACAAGAGCACGCTCTTAGCCAATTCAAAGTGTTATATTGTCACTTTATAAAGCCTAAGTATTTTTCCAGATGATTCAGTGAAACAAATCTGGGATTTTTGTCAAGGTCATTATCTTGAAGGAAATTTTTAAAGGAGCTATTTGGAGAGCAAGGGTATCTCTTGATAGGTAGTAAGGTGAACAAGGAAAAAAATTTGTTTCTCTGCCGGTCACCTCTCATAAAGATGTTCAAACACATGGCTTACGACTGTTAAGCTAAACTTCAATGCGGCCTTAAAACAACAAGGGTAGTGTATTTGAAACTATGTTGTACAGCTTGGAAACTTATTCTAAGATCTTAATTCAGAGTTTTTCTGAGGTGTTGAACTTTGCCATTAGCAAAAAGTATTTTTAGAAAAAAATCCATTGACTGTTTATGAAGCACTGATTTTGCCATATTTCAGGTCTCTGGTTTTTCCACCGCATCTGTGCACAGTAGTTATATTTGTTTTTCAATTATTTCTTCTATTTCCATTAATAATGAATCTGTAAAACGGTCATTCGAAAGGACAGTTGGTTTTGTTTAATGATTGGGTAAGTGGACTGTGAAAATATTCGAATTTGGTAGTGGAAGTAGGAGGTTTATTATTGTTGTGTTGTTTTAAAAATTATGCTAGGGTCTTTCCCTTCCAGATGTACATGTCTTTAATTTCAGCAAAAGCCAATATTTAACTTAATGACAAATGTTATGAAGCTATTAGTTAATGCTCTTTGCTCTTCTTCCTTCAGTCGATGGCATGAAAGTCTAAATATACTTTCACAGTAACCACCCTCCAGTGACTGATTTACAAAGGGCAAGTCTGGCAAATTGTAAGTCACTCTGAGTTTCTGTGTTGCCTTTTGCCTTGTGACAAACCAGAGTTTGCGAATATCCCAGGTATGTGATCACAAGTGTCAGTTTGAAGTTTGTAATGGAAAAAGAATGGGGGGGGTGGTGCAGTATGTCATGGATGTTTCATAGAAAAAAAATAATTTAAGTGACATTCTATTAGGCAATGCTTAATTGCTTCCTGCCTGATGTATACCTAGTAATCTGGCTGATTATTGGTTGTTATTTGTCAGAATTTATTGTATCTTGTTGCCGCATATGCAACTGAGTATATGTTAAAATTTAGACTTCAGTATGTTATCTGCACAATTTTGTGTGCTTTACACCTCTGTAAATATACAAATAAAGAAATCACATATGATGTGTTAAATGTGACCTCCAGTCTTGAAACAATAATATTTTGTAGTATGAATATTTGGAAATTATTTGAACATTTTAAATGGATATTGTAAATGGCCAGTACCTTCAATCAAAAACAGCCCTGGTAGAATGAGTGCCTCTTCAACTTGCCCATTAAGAAGAGGAGGTCAGGGGTTAACAAGAATTAAGATAATTTTTCTAATGGCAAGTATTTTTTATAATTTCCTACCTGCCTAATTGCATTTTCAAGAAAAATTGTTGACCTAAAAAAATCTTAGCTATCCAATGGAATGATTGTTTCAAAAGCATTAAATATACTTTATATCTCACCTAATAATGTTGAAATCTAAGTCAAGAGTGAAGAAGTAAAAAATATTTTTGATGCTTCATAAGATTTTTTTGCTATTTAAAAGATAGTTTACAAGTCTTTTGTCTTTGGTGTGGAGAAATGTCAATTAAATAATAAACTAAAAGAACTTCAGCACATGGCTTACCTAATGCTTTTTCCATGTCTCAATGAACACAAAAATTGTTCAGCCTGAACTTTTAAAATCTTCGCACTTAAACTTTGAAAGAGTTATTATCTGGGGCATTGTTTTGACAATTATTAGCAAAGTCTGACTTGTTGGATCTTGACTAATTAATAGCATTTAGACTATTCCTCTTTCCTAATTGAAGATACAGCAACATATTACAATGGCAAATACTCTCACCAGGTTGTACCCAGGAGCTTGGCCATCATAACCTCACTTCTTCCTCCAATGCATGCATGTTTGAACATCTGGAGTGCATTCTGCATGCCTTGTCCTATCTCCATTTCTTTATCCCTTCTCCACATCCACAGAGCTCCTTCTCCCCCTTCTACAATGTTTGAGGACACTACAAAGAGATTATTTCAATCCCAGGAACCTGAACAAAAAACGTTCTCCTGAATTCCCAAGGACAGGAAATATGCTGCTTTGGACCATGTATTTGTCTTATGCTGTCTTACAGAATTCTTTTAAATGCACATGCGCACTATGTACACACACACACACACACACACACACACACACACACACACACATTCAGCTCCTCATTGGCATGTTTGTGGTCGGCTTCCTGACAGCCTCAGAGGGCTGTTTTGTTGTCCTGGCCAAATGTGCTGTTTTCCCTATGTAAATTGTCATCTTTCTAAGCAAACCATTACTTTCTTTTCCTAATTCTGTCTTTAAATAAAAGTTTACCTTCTTTTTCAAACCAAACAGAAGCCATTGCTCTTTAATATCCCCTTCCTCTATGAACACTCTGGGGAGGTGTTTGGGGGAGGGACAGAGTGGGATAAAGGGTAAAAGGAGGCCTTTTGAATTTAACCTGCTAAGTAAGAAGTATGTCTTTAATTGAATGTTTAGCCCTTTCACAAGGTACACAGTATTTCCACCTGCTAACAAGAAATAATTCCTTCTTCTGCATAATAATAACACAAAAATATCTTAGGAATCAGGCAAATTAAAAGCTAGAGCTTTTATCTATTTAGAGTGAATGTTAGAATAAAAACTCATAAGAAATTTTTCTTGCCCAATGTTTATTGTAATGTTAAGGAAGTTAGATCTTTGCAATGATCTTTTGACTGTGAAAATGTGTTTCCTATTCAAGTAGCTATGGCATTCGCACCTTATAATGGTCTGTCCTATCAGTCATTGCATTAAGTTATTGCCAAAGAAGGGACTGATGTCAGATACTGACTAGAGGAAGGGAGGCACTGGGCATTTACCAGACTAGATCAAAGGCTCTAAGTCAAAAGCCACTACCTACTTTGTCAGTCGTCATTTCCCCCAGCACAATCTACAGCTCCTGGCACAAGTACCTGCTAAATAAGTGATAAACTGATGACCACCGACATTTCAGAGAGATCACTTAGAATCAGGTGAATTTCTCCATAAAGAATGGACTCAAAGGCCTTTACAAATGTTTGCCAGCCTGGGACTCTCTAAAGTTCTAAAGTCACTCTTTAGGACTGTCTGAAAAGTTCCCACCCACCTACCCCACCCACCGTTTCCAGAGTACATGATGGGGGTTGGACCCAGAAGGAAGCAAAAGGCCTGGGGAGAAACCTGCCCTTTCTTCTGGTGTTTCCGACAGTCAGAAGTTATCTGAGTATCATGATATCTTACATATTGTTTGGGCACCCCTGTGGATTGACATGGATTGACAGGCAGATCACCCTCTAAGAACCCAGAAAACCTACAAAAGTCTCATCCCCATGCCTGATAAAACTATATTTTTTCACATGCCATTTTCCTCATTGAGGATTTGATAGCTGCAATCTCCTACATGTTTAAAAAATACTACCAAAGCACCATCCTATTTGAGCTTGATGAACAGCCCTTGGAAGTGATCAGAACAAGAACTTTTATTTTATTTTATTTTATTTTATTTTATTTTATTTTATTTTATTTTATTTTATTTTTACAAATAAGAAGGGTGAGGTTCAGTGCAGTGAAAACTGGGGCTGAGCACTCCTGACCTCCCCCTGTGCCATACACCATTGAATTAGGTCAAGAAAGAGGAAAACAGCCCTGTGGAAGCCCTCTCTGAAACAGACACCCTGCAGAGATAGACATGCAAGGGATATTTACATACAGAGATGATGACCACAGATGAAGCCAACAGGACAACACAGCAGACCTTTCCCACCAGACCAGGGCTCTAATTCACGGTCGGGATCTCTGTGGGTATGGGAAAACACCTTTCCTTTCTGAACTTACAGATGAAGATATCTCTAAAGTATGGAAACTTTTTTTTCACCTCTGAGATTCCATGAATTTAAAATGCTCACAATGAGTACTTCTCAGGAATGAGCAGAACACGTTCATGTTGATGATATGTTTTGTGCTGTTGTTGTTCTAGGTGGGGAGCCCAGGTTATGTAAGGTAAACAGAAGGTGATATTGAGTCTATTATAAAGAAAGTAAACTCAGGAAAACTATGCTGGGCATCCCTTTCCAATATTCTCCTCCATCTCCAAAAAATAATCTTCACCATGGAAAGATTTAAATCAATCACTCTTCTGCCTCACATGATCCCAGTCTCTCTCAGAAGATGATTCTACCTATTTCAGTCCCCCAATCTTTGGCTGTCCAGACCACTGCGGAATCACACTGGATGTGGTCTGGAATATCCCTTGGACCTTCCACGGCATCTGATTTGGTACTAACCCCACCCACCAGCTGTTCTTTTAGATCTTGCTTGATCACTGCCATAAGACCCTTTCCCTGGAGTATCCCAAAAAGGGTCAAACCATTGTCCCACTGCAGGGGGCACTATTGTTAAGTGTGGAATGTGCTGCATTTGCCCTTTCTCAGAACCCAAGCAGGACTCCTTGCCAACAACTTGCTGTTGCAATAGGTATCTCATTTGTGGTGGAAAGGAAGACTAGAAACTGTCTTGGAATACAGCACTACACAGCACTGGTCCTTCCTTTATGTAGGATCTTTATCGTGCCATAGTGGGGCCTGTTTGAAGCACCATGGTGGTCACACATCTGATGTTTCCAAGTTTGGGCCAACTTGAGCAAGGTTGACGTGGACCTTGCTTGGGCCATTTTGGTTTGGCTAGAGCCAAGTGCCAGGTATTGTTCTCCCTCTGCCCTCAGCAGAGTCTGTGAAGTGAGGACAGCATCATTCTCTGACAAACATTCAGTACATTTCCTCGGGTCTCAGGAGGCCTGATATTGAAATGTTTTCCTCCCCATAGTTATATTTTCCTTGGTTGAAAAAGTTTTGTTTTGGAAGTTGCTACCCTGTCGAGGTAATGAGTCAGTTTGGGAGGCCAGTGCAGAGGGGAAAATGAACATCATTGGCAGAGAAGGATGGGGGTGAGAGAAGATGGGAGATTCCGGGTGGGAGAGAAAGGGTCACACCCTCTGCACCCTTCCACCCTTTCAGGAAGCACACGGCCTCTCCTCGCCATTTAGGGGCTTCTTCACTGAGGCCAGGAGCCAGGTTCAGCTGACACCCTAGGACTTGTTCCTGGGAAAAGAAAGCAGGCAGGAAAGGAGCTAATTTATGGGTCACCCTTTGAGTGCCATTTAATCTTCTGCTTTCCACTTACTGTGAAAGTTGGTAGCATGATCAACCACATCTTTTAGATTGGGAAATTGAGGCACCAGAAAGGAAATTTCATACCCAACATCACAGAATCAGCAAGTAGCAGAGCTAAGACTGGAATTTCAGTTCATTGTAGAAGTTCAATGACCATTCTGTTGTATGGTCTCTCTATAAGACTCACTCTTATCCAAAGAAACAGACCCAACAAGCCTAGGGGCAGGATAAAAAAAAACCAGTTAGAGAGATGATTTTTTTTTTTAAAGAGAGAGTGAGAGAGGAGAGAGAGAGAGAGAGAGAGGATTTTTAATATTTATTTTTTAGTTCTCGGCAGACACAACATCTTTGTTGGTATGTGGTGCTGAGGATCGAACCCAGGCCGCACACATGCCAGGTGAGCGCGCTACCGCTTGAGCCACATCCCCAGCCCCAAGAGGGATGATTGAAATAACCTGACTCTGGGGAGGAGCAGTCTTATTGGAAGACAGAGAAGAAGAGGTTTATAGATTTGAACCAGGCTTTTTACTTCTCTCCATTCTCAACTCCCCTCAATTGCCCCAGCCCAATGTTTTCTTCATGAGGAGAGAAAAGTCATAGAGATACAAAACACACACACACACACACACACACACACACATACACTCACACAAGGACACAAATACACACAGATTCCCTCACTCACACACACAACACAAACACACACGTCCACACAAGCACAGAGGCACACACATCTGGAGGTAAATCTCAGGATTCAAGGGTTGGCCTCGTGCCAGCTCTGAGCCCCATGTAGCCCACTGAGGAGCCCTGGTCTGCAGCACTTTGGGAGGTCAAATCCATGAAAGAGCCTGGTAGTTTAAAAAAGAGAAAGGGAGAATGAAAGAACACCAGCACCTCTCATGATGGGAGGTCAGCAGGAATGAAACCAGGAGAGGGGTGGGGGTGGGGCAAGAGCATGGGGGTAGGGAGCCTGGTGCTGGCAGCTGAATTCCTACCCTGGCCCAGCTCCAAAAGATTAAAATAGAGCTCTTAGAGTGTCCCCTCCACAGACTAGCCTGCCAGGGGCCAGACAATACGTGGGTTTGTGCTCCAGCACAGGCCTCCAGAGAGGTGATGTTTTTACCCGGACAGCTAAAGGCACAGAGGCAGGTCTAAGCAATTCCAAGGCTCCTTTGGCCCACAGTCCCAGAACAGGCCACAGCAGAGGGAGAGCTGCTGGCTGCTAGGACGCATACAGATCTGCTCTTTTCTCTTCTCACCCCAGGGCAGGCTGCTCAACTCACACTTCTTCATTTTATCTACCCCCAAAAAACCCAATTGGCAGGGCTACGTGGGACCAGGTCTTAGCAGATTCGTTATACTTTAATTGGAGGAAGGAAAAAAAAAAAAGTTCAGCATACCTGTAAACAGGCAGCTGCAGGGATGGGGCGGACAGGGCGTCCCTCAGGATCATCTAAATACTCAGATGAGTACAAACACCTCATTTTCTCTACCCAAGGAACACAGCTTCCCCCAAAGGAAGCCCCACTGGCCCCTTGAGGTTACATCTGCTTCCTTGGAATTCTTGAGGATTTCAGCGGCTGGCACTCAAGACTAACATCCCAGACCACTTGCTAACACAGAAGAATGAAGACAAGACTGTATTAGCTAAGAGGACAGGCTCTGGAGTTTGTAGACCTGGGGGTCTACTCCTGACTATGCCACTTAGTCACTTTTGAATGTAAGCAAGTCACTTAACCTTCCTGGAACTCAGGTTATTATCTCTAAGAGCACCTAAGTATACTCTTAGGGTCAAATGAGAAAAGTGCATAGAAAGTGATCAAACCTAGGCCTGCATGTAACTAGCAAATGTTAACACAGATTAAAAAAATAAAAATTTTAAAAATCCCTCCTGCCAGATCCTCCATAACTAAGGAAAAAATTGTAATTTATTCAAACTAGAATACTTTTGATAGTGAGGGTAGATACTAACTAGAGGGGGCCCCTAGGACACTGACTCACCAAAGATTACCTGGAGAAACCAGCACATATAATCCCCTTCTGTGTAATTTTTTGAAGGGTCCCTATTTAACATTCCATCACGGGAATCTCTTTAAAAATAGCCTTCAGTTCAACTCTATAGCTTCCCATGGGAAGACCCAGCCCTTTTTGGTATACTGTGAT